CTTTGATGTTCATCTATATCCATCCTTCCTCTCACTAAGAATAAATTCCCATCGAGACAGCATGGATCTCAGTTTGAGGCTTGGCTCCTTCACTAAACAGCACTATAACTTTGAGAGAGTTCTCTACCCTCCCTAAACCTCAGCTGCCTCCTGAATAACATGGATATCTCTTCCTACATCAGGCGGTCATGAGATAACAACGTGTGTCATGTGCTAAGCCCAATAAGTGTTACATGGTTAGGTTCTAAAGATATTACTTCCTTTTGTGTCAACTCTATGTCACGTAGCATAGAACCACACTCGGTAATAGTTTTTACTAATGCTCCTGAAATCTAACCCTAAATACTTGCAGTTAGCTCATTTTCCACACAACTCTTAACAAAAGGCATTGTTAAGTTCAAGCGTCAGGATCAACGGAAACCAGACAGCTGCTTGGTAACACAACTGAGAGCGGACCCCAAACATCACTGGAGGGATGATGAGATGGATGGACTATGTGGTTGGCAGATGTTCTGATAAGCTACTTGGAATGAGCGGTACGGAGACATAGGGAGGAGGTAAGAAGACCAAGAGGCCTCAGTAAGCTGCCTGCAGAGGTGGGTGGGTCCTCAGAGCCCGTGTTCTATGGGGATGCAAGTCTGGGGCCAGAGCTGGGCAGCAGAGGACAACTGAAAGCTGCCACCAAGGACACACCTTTTTCTCGGTCCTTCCACCATGAGTCCTCAGCCTGGCTGCCAAATAGATACAAAACACACACTTTAAAAAATTGATCTGGGGGCGCCTGGGTGTCACAGTCGGTTAAGCGGCTGCCTTCAGCTCAGGTCATGATCCCAGGGTCCTAGGATGGAGCCCCATGTCAGGGTCCCTGCTCTGCAGGAAGCCTGCTTTTCCCTCTCCCTCTGCTTGTGCTCTCTGTCTCTCTCTCTCTGACAAATAAATAAAATCTTTAAAAAAAATTGATTTGAAGGTGTGACAAATATTTGCTACCTGGGACCATCTCAGCCTAGACTCGGCTGAGGAGCAATGCATTACAACCCCTGCCACTTGCTCCTCTCATCACTTCTCCCCCAGCCATGTTTCCCTCAGTTTCACACAGATACTTATTTTCCTTTCTTCTGGTATCCCTCCTGAGCACCTTTTCTTCCTTCTTTAATTTTTTTCACCTTCAATAAATTCATTCAAGCACATTAATATGTTTGAGCATCTATTATTTAATAGTATATAATACTATGAGATACTTTGCTAGGCAGAAAAAAAGGGATGCTGTGTATTTTTTGTTAAATTTTACTTTATTCTTTTAATTTAACATTTAAAAAATTGAGACATAAATGACATAGAGCATTATATTAGTTTCAGGTGTACAATATAATGATTCAATTTATTTATATATTGTGAAATAATCACCACAATAAGTCTAGTTAACATCCATTGTCATCAAGGACAGATGCTCTGTATATTTGAAACAAGGTTTTAATCTTTTCCCTGACAAGATATTTAAGACCCTAACCTAAAAGCATGGAAGCCATCAATCCACTCTGTCTAATTCATTCACGCATTCATTTATATAAAAAAAAAATTATTGAACACTTCCTAAGTGCCAGGCAATGCTTTAGGCCATCCACATAGGGCACTGAATGAGACAAGTCTTGCGGAGGAGGAGATGGATACATATATAATGGCCAGTGGAGGTAAGTGCCAGGAAGAGAAGGGGAGCCGGGTCTAGGGACAAGAGTCACAAAGAGCTACTGTACACGGTGTGGAAAGGGCTGGGACAGGACAGGAATTTCCCTAATTACCACACTTTTCATTCTTTCTCACCAGTCTTCGCCTTTCTCCTCTGATATTCTTCCAGGATTCAAGTTGACTCAGTCTTTCATACCTTCCAAGGTGGTTTCCTCACTGGTTGGAAGAAGCACTGGCTCGATAACCTCCAGCTTTGGATAGCAGTGGCACAACAAGGCAAGGACTTAAGGGGACCTGTGGGCTCTGGACATGGCCAGAGTTGTCTTGGAAATACTGGGGAGGATAAAAATGTTTGACTCTAATGGGGTTTCCAGTGAGTATCATTGAGCTCGCAGCCCTTCGGAGCAAGAAGTAACAATTGAAGGGAAAAAACTGCTTAGAAGAGAAGCCGGTAATTATTGGCATTACTTTTTTTAAAGATTTTATTTATTTATTTGACAGAGAGAGTGAGAGACAGCGAGAGAGGGAACACGAGCAGGGGGAGTGGGAGAGGGAGAAGCAGGCTTCCCGCCGAGCAGGGAGCCCGATGCGGGGCTCGATCCCAGGACCCTGGGATCATGACCTGAGCTGAAGGCAGACGCTTAACGACTGAGCCGCCCAGGCGCCCCGGCATTAATTTTTTTAATAAATATTTATTCACCTAAAAATTAATAATGTTGAAAATTTCAAATGTTTTATAGCGATATAGTCATTAAGCTTCTCTGTCTGTTGTATTCTGAAGTATCAAGTGAGTGTTTCCTCCCATCTCTCCACATATCAGTGTAAATAGCATCCAGACATTAAATATTCATCAGCTTAAGTGTAAAACTTTCATTTAAAATTTTTAGTATTAAATTCTATCTCTTTAATCCAAACCATTGGTAGAAATATTCCTAAAATGGAGAGGGAAGAAAAAATTCTACCCAATGCTGAGGGTTTTGCAGATATAATACGGACTTGTTTTAACACATTGTAAATACAGGGGGGTCTTATGTTTTCAAATGGACATGATGCAGTTAAAATGCCACCTATCGGCTCCATAGGCTTTATATCTTCTAGCCCCATTCTCTGTTTAGACAAGGAATATTTCTACCAATTATAATAAGCAAATGGATTAATGTGATTTGGGGGCCTTATAAGTCACATCTTCGTTAGTTTTAAGTTCCTCCACTTGATGTATGAAATTGTGGTGAATTTATTCATTTCAGAAAGTGTTCCACAATTATGCTGTATCCATCTGAACCCTTTAAATTAAGTCAATTAAGTCCCACTTGCATTATTATTTCTGTTATAGACTGATGATTTAATTTTATCAATTTCTCTCCTAATGGCCAAATCATGCATGTACCAGTTACACTTAAAAATCACACGTTTCTCTTCCCTTGTTCTATCTTGAGCCTCTTCTTGGCCTTTCCCAGATGCTATTAACAATTACTTTTGAAAATACAGGAAATCTTCATCTCCATTCCAATAATATTGAATCTTTGGCAAGTTTATAAGTAATCTTTTTCTCCCTTGTATATATTCCAGATATTTAAGCCATAAATTAATTGGGTTTATTTTCACATTCTAGTCATTTTCATAAAAATCCTCTTCTTAATTTTTTTAAGATTTATTTATTTATTTATTTTAGAGACAGAGAGAGTGCATGAGTGGAGAGAGGGGCAGAGAGAGAGAATCCTCAAACAGGCTCCCCTCTGAGCGCAGAGCCCAATGTGGGGCTTGATTTCACAACCCTGAGCTCACGACCTGAGCTGAATCCAAGAGTTGGACGCTTAACCGACTGAGCCACCCAGGCGCCTCCATCTTCTTAATCTTTGTGATATAGAATTTGTACCTTAGAAGACAACCTTAATGCTCCCTGGCCCAGGCACTCCACTTACAGTAAAGACTTCTGAGTTATTTTGACTTAATAACAAAGCAAAATGGTGTGAAAAATTAAGTCAACATGTTATGTTATATGATCCCTTCTCTGAATAGCAGAAAATTCTAGAAAATATAGACATGATGCATCAAGCAGTAGCTGTTCCATTAGGACATGTCAGCTATTTTCCCAAGTCATTTAATTCTGTTTCACCTTCTCCTCCAGGTGTAAGTCTCTTTAATTCCTCCCCAGTGCCCCCCTCCTCCTTATTTTCCTTCCTCCATTGTTACACCTGACCTTCCTCTGTCATTTTTACTTCCAAACAGCAACTTCCGTTGGGTTCCCGAGGCCTGTACTCTGTGCCTTACTTTGGGCTGCCTCCCGACGTTTAGAATAATCTCCTACCCTGACACCCTCCATCTTCATCTTCAACTAGCTTCTGGAAACTCACTTCTGCTGGGAGCTGTATCCTGACGATTTTTCCTATCCAGCTGCATTCTCCAGACCCCTCCTGTGAATGCTGTCCTGGCCCAATCCAAGTGCCACCACTTTAGGAGAAAGACACTACGTGTTTCCATTTCTTCTAAAGTAGCATGTTTGATTCTAAAAATAATATCTCCCTTCAGTATAAGAATCCTGAACTCAGTGTCAGAGCCTTTCACCCAAACCATGGCCAGATCTGCCAAGTCAACTTCCATTGTTCCTTCAGGTATTTCTTTCCAGTTTTCTAGAAGTTCTAGGGCCAAAAGCCCCCAGAAGTTGAAAAGCAAGGATAGATATTTCTTATAATAAAAGGATAAGAAAATCCATTGCACACATTGTATGGGTCATTTTGTGCTAGCAGCGAAAGAGCTGACTCTTCTTAAGATATAAAAATGAAAAGATGGGTGATTTAATAAAAGTTCTGAGGCTTCACTGGTCTTATCTCCCATCCCTTTTATTTTCAGAGATATTTTGAAGGGAGTTCACACAATAGCAATAATCCATCATCAGTTTGGTGCTCTAAAGCTCAAGCTATCCAAAAGTTTTCCATTGGCATTTCATCTTTAAGAGGAGTAATTACTCCAGTTATTCTCCAAATTTCTGATCACTCTATAGTATGTGCACAAAGCCAAAAGTGGTATTTGGTATATGTGTGTGTATGTATATGTGTGTGTGTGTGTGTGTGTGTGTGTGTGTGTGTGTATATAGAGAGAGAGAGAGAGTGTTCCCAACATAATTTTCATTCCATTTACACTCAGGAAGAAAAAGGTCTCTATGTTTTCAGGGGTTGTCTATAGTATTTTGTTTTTATGGGAACATTAGAAAGAGGGAGCCAATTATGCAAGACTCCATTTAGTTTTGATTGCCTTACAATACAAGCTGCTGAGGTTTTATAGACTCCCACTAAAGAAAGAAAAAGACTTACCACCTAATTCCAGATATCTTGTGACTTATGAACCTTCAGACATAAAAGCATTGAGTCTCCAGGGCAAGAAAGAGCCTATAGTGGAAACAAGAAAATCAAGCCAATCAGTAATGAAGATCAAAACTAAAAATGTTCATTCCTGAATAAACTTTTTTTTTAAGTTTTACATTTGTCCTTTTTTATTTATTTGTTTTGAGTCTACTTACATCTGGTCAGAAGCTCCTTGTTCATTTCCAGTGGTTTTTCTAGCCCAGCTAACAATGAAGATACATTATTTACCAGGCAATAGTAGGACTCGATTTAAAAAAAAATAAAATAAATAATTATATGTTATTTATTAACTTAAACAAAGGTCACTTACTCAAATGCCTTCAGGAGCCAAACTGACAGCCTTTTGCATCACACAAGGGCAAGGCATCGTTCATTCACGCGGCACTCCACGTTAGTGCTAGGCTGGGATTCATAACCATGTGGAGCTGGGAAAAGCAGCCGTGCTACAGCAGGTAAGGTCAATGTGCAAAGCAGCCCTGGATGAAATGGTATGAAGCAGAGGCGCCTGCCATCACCTGGAGGGCACAGAACCCTGCAAACAAAGCAAATGCATGTCTGCAACTTGAATTTTGGCTCCCAGGTCACCAGTTTATGATATCATTCCAGAATTACTTTAAGGAAGTTTTATCGATGGAAAACTGAATTGTATCTCCTGTTATATTAGAATTATTACGTTTCAGTGTTATGTCTGCTTCGGGGGGACGTTTAAAATTCCTCTTTGATCACCTGATATAAGGAGAATTTTTAAATCCAAAGGCAGTACAGTAGTAAGGTCCATCCTATACCAAAAGCAGATGACTCGCTACTTAGATTTTCTATTATTATGGAAGCATAATCTCTTTGTTCCCACAGCAACACATAACAACAATGAAGATATTATTTAGCATAAAATCTCCAATGCTTCTTTGCATCTTCCTCCTGTCCGTCCCTACCCAGTGATTGTACAATGAAATGCAATCTTGCTCAATCTTTCTCAGTCTCAGGGAAGGCATGGCGCTTACCTACAAAAAGGTGATAGTTTGGAAAAGTAACATACATGTACGCAAAGGACTGTAATAAGAGGAATACGGAATTGCTACACGAGTTGTTTTTGAAATGTGGTAATGGGTACTATAGATAAAAGGGAGACATTCAGTGATATAAGAAAGGCATTTAAAATGGTCCTCGAAGACGGTCCAGGACAGAGTCATGTCAGGAAAGAGCTGACTGGCATTGGACTACACACAGCAATCATGTTAATGAGGCATGGAGGCTGGAACCTCTGTGAGCAGTTTGCAGCATGTAGCCAGATCACAGGGAACCTGTGGGCAAGTAGATGGGACGATGAAATTCTAAGAAAGATGGATTGAGCTCTTTCCTCACTGGCTGCTCCATCTCACACTCCATAGCTCTTTTTTCCTCTTCATCTCCTGCCCCCATTTAGATAATGGAGCCCAGGGCTCAGTCCTTGGACATCTTCCACTGTCCACTCATATCTTTTATGAGCTTACCCACTCTCGTGGCTTTAAGCATCACTCTTATTCCGATGACTCCCTGGTTTGTGTCTTCAGTGCATGTCCTGGACTCCACACTTGCATATCCAATTGCCCATAGACCATCTGTACCAAGAAGTCTAACAGGCATCACAATATTGAGTCCTAAAACTGCCTGGTGTTCTTTCTCAGGTCTACTCCTCCAACCTTCCCCTTCTACTTGATTTCCTTCCAGATGCTCAGGCCAAAAATCTTGGGGTCATCCTCGACTCCTCTTTTTCTCACACCCACGGACAATTAATAGAAAATCCTGTTGACTTTACTCTCAGAATACAACCAGAGTTTGACCACTCCTCATCACCTTCTCTGCTACACTCTAGACTGAGCCACATCATCTCTCACCTGGGTTCCAACATCCTCCTAACAGACATCCCAGCCTCTACCTTCCCCTCCTAAACATATGGGATTCTTAGTGCAGGAGCCACAGTGATTCTGTTAAAAGGCAAGGCAGATCATGTCTTTCTTTGATTTGCAATAGTGAAAAAGCCCTCCTCTGGCTCACAGGAGAGCCCCAAATTCCTCTAATGGCTGGGCAAGCTTTCATTCATTCAACTTCAGCCAATGTGGTCTCCTTGTTACTCTTGGTGTACCCCCTCACAGCCTTCGTGTCATCATTCAGTCCTCCTTGGAGGCTCTTCCTCTGGACATCCACAGCTCCTCGCTTTCTCATGACTTTTGCTTATAGGTCACCTGCCCACTGAAGCCTACCCTGGCCATCCTGTCAAGAATGGCATCCTCTTTGATTTCTTTTTCTTTTTTGCAAGTATCATATATATTTCATATATTTATCATGTTTATCCTCAGCCTCCCTCTTTGATGTAAGCTCCAAGAGGGCAGAGATGTTTGTGGGTTTTGTTCACCATTGTATCTCCAGCATCCAGGACAGTGCCTCTTATGCAATAGGAACTCAATAACTCTTTGGTGACTGAACCTTAAGTAGTTTTAGGCAATGAGAAACCACTGAAGATGTTTGAGTTGAGTCTGAAGAAAGGGAAATGAGCAACAAGTCTTTGCCGAAACCTTGCATTGTATCTGTGGGGTAGAAATGGCATTTCAGAGGCAAACTGTTCAAACACAAAATGTCAGAAAAAAGCCATGACTTCTTCCCCTACCCCATGGTAATTATATTTGTTTTCTCTGACTTGATAAGTTTATCAAGACAGTTTGTCGTTATGTAAAAAGTAAGGACATCGGAGTAAAAAAAAAACAAAGTTAAATTTCTTTTTTTTAATATTTTATTTATTAATTTGTCAGAGAGGGAGAGAGAGAGCACAAGCAGGGGGAGCGGCAGGCTTCCTGCTGAGTAGGGAGACTGATGTAGGACTCAATTCCAGGACCCTGGGACCATGACCTGAGCCGAAGGCAGATGCTTAACCAACTGAGCCACCCAGACATCCCCCAAAGTTAAATTTCCGATTCTAATAGTGTTGATTTCATCTATAAAATGGAGGTTATAATCAAATTTCTTTTTTATGGGTTATAAGGATTAATAATAATTATTAATGTGTATAAAAGATCTAGCAGATAGTAGGTATTTATAAAATCTTAGTTCCTTTGATTTAATAATTAATTAGAGCACAGCCAGCCTCTTTAACTTACTTGCCAATTTTTTCATACTCTATTCACTAAAATTCTTGCTAATGTTATGGGTAGAAATTATCAACCAACATTTGACTAACATGCTCAGCAATAAAATGTGCCTGCTATACGATTCCTTCTGCTATGTTTCATTAATTTTTCTATGATCCAAGCTTTCACACTGTGCACCCATCTCTGACTATCCTATCAACTCCCAACCTTTTTCAGTCCCCTGGAAAAAAAACTATTTTATCAAGTACTTTATTGAATTAAAAGTGCATTCATTTTTTAGTCTGTATTTCCTTCATAAAGAAAATTGATTTGAAAATTAAATTTAAGAACAAAAAAGATAGGGATTACCACATCCCACTCCAAATTGCCCATATAATTTTTGTATTAGGCAAAGTAGACCAACCCAGTGGTTCTCGAACTTTTTGGTCTCACGACCCCTTTACATTCTTAAAGATCATTAAGGACTCCCAAAGAGATTTTGTTTATGTGGGTAATATCTACTAATATTTGCCCTATGAGAAATTAAAACAGAGACATTTTTTAACGCAAAAATATGCAAAGACCCACTTTATTAGACATCAGAGCAATGACATCATCACACATAGCATGTAGGAAGCTCTGCTCTACGATCACGAAAGAGTGAAAGTGAAAAAGACAAACAGTATCTTAATATTATTATGAAAATTGTTTTAACCTGTCAAACCCTCTGAAAGGGCCTTAGGGAATACCTAGGGGCTCCTGAACCACACTTTGAGAACCACTTGCCTAATCTTTGGTTGGTAACACATCAACCCCAAATTCTCAATGACTTAACATAATGAATATTTATTTTTACTCACATAAAGCCCACTGTGGCCTGGACAGGTCATGTGCATCTTATAGCTATATGACCTGAAGATGTGGCTTCATCTCAGCAAGGGAAGGGGCCCCTAGCTGGCTCCTAACTATGCTGATCCAAAAGCACACATGTCACTTTTACACACAATTCATGTGCCAGAAGTAGTCACATAAATATTTGGTGACTGAATGTACAAAGAAGAACCTTAAGTGGGTTCAGGCAGTTAGAAACCCCTGAAGATATTTTAATTGAATCTGAAGAAAGGGTAATGAGCAACAAGTCTCTACTGAAACCTTGCATTGTATCTCTAAGATAGAAATGACCGCAACCCACTGCAAGGGAGGCTGACAAACTAGAAGTCCACTGTACTGATCTACTTTAAAACTTCTGCGTGAAATACCCTTCTCCAAATATAGCGTTTGGAATTAGCACATCTAAGTTCCATTCAGTCTGTTGAGCAGACCCTAGATTTAAGGCATTCAGCCAGATGGTGACCAGAGAAGGGAAAGACACATTCAGCGCAGGGATAAAGCTCACTAAGAAAATAAAGAAAGGAATGGATCCAGTTACAAAATCATCGCAATCTAGGATTTGTCTGATTTAGTGAGCCCTTACTATGTACAGGCTGGTGGTTGTATTTTTTTGTCTCATTTAACCCTCACAAAAACCTGATGTGTTATGCCATTATTTATGTCCATTTTTTAAAATATTTTATTTATTTATTTGAGAGAGAGAGAGAGAGCACATGAGCAGAGGGAGAAGCTGGCTCCCCACTGAGAAGGGAGCCCGATGCAGGACTTGATCCCAGGTGAGATTATGACCTGAGCCAAAGGCAGATGTTCAACTGACTGAGCCACCCAGGTGCCCATTTATGTCCATTTTTAAGATGGAAAAATTGAGACACAGAGAGATTTGAGTAATTTGTCCAGGGTCCTCTGGCTAACACAGGGTGAAGCTAGGACTTGAGTCCAGATCTGCTGGACATGAGACAGCACTTTAACCATGAGGGCTCACAGTACTGTCTCCCTCAGATATCTTTTCCTTGAGAAAATCCTGCATCATCATTAATGATGTTTCATCGGGTTAACTTTATCTCCCAAACGGGGTAAAGGACTTGTGACCTAACTGCTACAATCCAACAGCATCGATGTCACTTGGAAAATCAAAATACCAGTAATGGCTGTGCCTTTACTAAATCTCATTCACTACATTTTCACTGCTTCCCTTGAGAGGTCAAAGCATGGAATGTAAAGTGCATGGGGTACTGGGTTCTAGAACAATCTCTGCACGGGACAAGCCATGCCGCCTCTCCACGCACTGTTTTCCTCATTTTTAGAGATGAGGAAGAGTAGGAAGTGCAGAAATGTGAGAATCAGACAGACCTATGCTAGATCCCAGCAGTGCCACTCTTTCTGGGAGCTTGGCAAGGCATTTAAATTGCCAAGTTACCATTTCTTTATCTGTACAATGGAATCAATAATGAGGTCATTTAAACACTAATGTGAGATAATACATGGGAAGAAGCCTTGAAGGTACATGCACCAGGCTCATGTCTCCCAACCCTACCCATTT